GTGTCGATTTTTGGTACTTCATAATCTTGTATGTTGAATTATGATGGTTCGGTCCACGTAGATTTGTACTTATAAAAGTATGTTACCGTTGACCAAATTAAATTATAAATATATTTAGAAATTTAATATTTTTTTATTTGTTATTAGTTTATCATAATAGCATACCAAATTAATTATTTTTTGACCTCATATGTATACAATATTTTTATTTTTATAAGTTTTAAAATCAAATAAAATTTATAATTCAAGTTTTAATAAGTGCTTAAAATTTCAAATTATTTTTCTTAACTAGTATAAAATTTCATCCAACATACACCACTATTATACCACTATTAATAATTACGATTAATAGATCAGTAATGCTCCTTTATCCATTGTGAACACGTGTTAATATGTCCACCGTTTATGATGTTATAAATATTAAAAAAATACATCACCAATGTGTGCATGCCACACTAAGCGGTGGACATACTAACATGTATTCGCCGTGGGTAGGAGAACATTAGTTACGATTAATAACAAAGTTGATGCAAGTATGAGATTCAATTATTTTATTATACCTAGGCTATCGCGCAAAAAATCAGCATCAAGTTGATTTAAAATAAAAATAAAAATAAATAAATTATATATTCAAAAAATAGAACCTTACAATTTTCTAATGGCCTTATCAAGAATTCAAGATCCAAAGCATAAACATGGAAGACTTTAGTTAAGATAAGATCAATCAAATTAATTGTGCACTGATTCTTAAAGGCAAGGAATCTTTCTACATGCTGCATTAATTAATTAATTAATTAATTAATTAATTAATAAGCATCCTAGTTAATTTTTTCTTTTATTAATTAATTAATTAACCCATCCTAGTTAATTAATATTAACAATTTAATATGTTGCAACTTGGTGATTTGCAGTTCAACTTTCTAGTATTTAATCCAAAGTAAAACTTTCTGGGCCCAACAGCCAAGTGGCCCAACTCATAATTCACATCTTTAAAGCTCCAAAAAACAATAAATAACTAAAAAGTGATTATTGGAATGAGATTATGAGAGTGATTCTTGGCATATATGGGGAGTCAGAATAAAGTTGCTATGTGGGGGGGCCATCATATTTATAATATTTTTAAGTAATAATATATACATAAATAAGTGTAATTACATTTAATTTTTTCAAGAAATTGTCAAATTCCGTGACAAGATTCCCCATAACCTCTATTTTTCTAAACCTAAAGATTGGAAAACTTGGAATATTAGTTAGGGTCCTCGCAAAATCTCGAGCAAGTCCATGCTAGTTGGGAGCACAATGACTGATACGATATGAAATACGAACGCGAATATTAGAAAGCACGATTATAAAGATACACAACCAAAAAAACACACGATAGTGAAGCACAAACACGACGACATGTACGATTTTCCTTCCTAATGCCAGCTAGGGATGTTCTACGTACATTTAATGCACTGCAACAACTCAAGTTTTAGCCGGAGAAGAAATTGATTTCAGAGGAGTTAGGAATATTAAATGGCCTTTTTTCAAGTGTTAAATTTTGAAGAGAGACAAAAAAAATAAAAAATTCAAATTGATGTCACCGCAATTTATGATATGATTCATGTTTCTTGTATTTTTTATTTTCCAATTTCCTTTTTTATTTTTGTTTCTTGGGACTTGAACTTTTAGAGTTTAGTTGCAATCTAATTAATCGAAAATTTAATGTTGCATGTAGGGACCGTGTCCTAAGGCGCCTTTTTACCCTTGATCTCACAAACATTCACGTGTTTATAGATCAAGGGTTAAAAAGTATGTGTCTTGGTATCATAGACATTTACACAAGTGTGTTTATAGATTAAGGGTTAAAAAGTACGTGTCCTGATATCATAGACATTTACACAAGCGTGTTTATAGATTAAGGGTTAAAAAGTGTGTCTAGATCAATCAAAGGTTAAGAAAGTATGTGGAGACTGTGCATCAAGCTCTCCCTAAGTCATTGCACTTGGCCTGCATTAGTGGAGTCCTTGAAGTATCATTTCCCTAGAGAGTAGAGATTTATCATTGCCCTTTGTTAATTCCATAATTATCATTGTTTTTTAATCAAATGATAAATATATTAATAACTCAAATAATATACATTCGGGATGTAAAGACACCACAAAAGTTAAAACAAAGTATGGATAATTCCCACTTGAAATTATATAGGCGACCAAAAGGGTACAAGCATCCGCAAGCAAACAAAACTCAAAAAGTACGACAAAACAACTCCATAAGCCAGACGCGGTTGGACTAGAAAGAAAGAACAAAAGAAAAACAACAAGCGCAACAACACGATATGATGGAGAATAAAGATCTTTAATTTAATTAATTATTTATTTCCTTTATTTTGATTATTATTAGTGGTATTCTTGATTTGCTATGAAACCTATTTATTTATCACTTTATTAGAATTTTTGTTTTGTTGGACAAGCTAAAAATTTTGGATTGGAGGATTATTATTTAAAGAGTCCTCTTCTTTTGTTCTCTTCAGTTGATTTTGAATAAAAATATCGTATTTGAGATGGAAATGTCTTTTATTTTTCTTACCCGTACGCTTCCCTACATCAGTTGGTATCAGTGACTAATCACGATCTACGATGTCGCCCCAAAGACAAGATGCTGCAGATGACTCACCAGTACAAGGGGTTTGGCCGCTAGTTCGATAAGATGGGTCGTCAGATTGCAGAATTGTCTGCGGGGATCGGGGACATTCGACTGACTCTATGTATCATTGTTTAGAATCGTGCTGACGACGAGGGATGCAATGGGATGCGCGGGGGGTTGCGGCTAGGGTCCACACGGGGTGCCCTGGGCACGGTAGCCTCCACCGTGGGTCAGAGAAGGTGAGTTTGAAGACACCTTCGCCAAGTTATATCTTTTTGGCACGATGGAGGTGCGGGACGAGATCGGTTTTCCGACGATCGGCGTTGGAATCACTCAGAGTCGAGATCCACGAATTTTCAAGGGCCTTTGTGGACGTGCAATGGTCGACCGAGTATGGGGGTCAGCCTCGTTTTGATAAAGAGGGGTCGTTTGAGTATGAGTGTCTACAAATTAATTACAAAGAGGATATGATGTCGTCAGTGGTAGACAACAACCATGTGGCCGAGGAACGAGCCAGTGCAAACAAATAAGGTTGCCGATAATCAGCTTTCACTAACCGAGAAAACAATTGTGGACTTTTCCAATATAAATGGATGTCCAATATTTGAGATCACAATTTTGTTGCTTGATTCGTAAAAGGAAAATTAAAATTATATGCTACAGTTTGGTGATGTCACTAGTGGAGTTTGGTCGTCTATCACTACACAACTTGATGAGTCTAAAATGAATCCGGGCACATTATTTGATGAAAAAAATGAAGACAAATTTCTTTTCTTCTATGTCTATACGTGTTTGATGTTTTCGTATTAAGTGGCATATGGTGATAATGTCGGTGGCCACAAGGTTGTGCTGGATATAAGGGCGAATCTTTTTTGATAGGGGGAGAATGATGGGGAATCAAGATCTTTAATTTTATTAATTATTTATTTCTTTTAATATGATTATTAGATTTGTTAGGAAATTTATTTATTTATTTATTACTTTATGAGAATCTTTGTCTTGTTGGACAACTATAAATTTAGGGTTTGAGAAGTCTTATTTAAAGAGTCATCTCGACGGAGAAGAAAAGAAAAAAAAAATAAAAGTACAAAAAGTTAGAGAGAAGTCAGAACGTACCCATAAAATGAGAGAAGAAAAGAGGGTGTCCAGAGATCTTCTTTTGTTTCAGTTAGTTGATTTTGAATAAGAAAATACGTAGTTAGAGATAAATCTCTTCTCTTTATTCTCAATCGTACGTCGCGTTATATCACGATACAATAAACATAAGTACCAATATTAGATCAATACACACATATTCATACTTGTGTGTATTGATATCAATGGTAAAAATTCTACAGTTGCACAATAGTTATCGATAAATTGAGATGAACCATTAATTATGTTGACCAATTTTCATTTACGTTTAGAATTCGAGTTGTTATTGTTTTCTATGTAATTTTCTTGAGTAATACTCTCATTTTTACCTTATAGTGTCAATTATGGTGTTCCGTATTGCAACAGTCACGACAAGGTGTCATTGATTTCTCATATATATCTCATAGTTACCAATACTCCATGGTTAAATATGATTGATGGTTTTTAATATGCTAAGTATATGCAAATTTTTTAAGGTTGACGACAAACCTGTTGGAACCCACGAGGATCTCGATATGCACAAATCACAGACAAACATTCAACAT